AAGCCCAACCCCTCCCAGCAGAGTTGGCCTTCCTCCCACTTGAGCACCAAGGACATACCCCCGTGAGCCACAGGCCGGGATCACAAGAAAGGAAGAGGAGAAGGAAGGGGGGACGCGAGGAAGGAAGAATGGAAACCACGGTCCCATTCCACCTCGTCCAGATTAGGGTGGCCAGGTATTGATAGAGTGACCTTCACAGAAAGGACAGCTCATCCACCCTTCCTGGGTCTAGGAGGGCTCGATGTAGGCAAAGGATGTCTCCAGATGAGAAAACCCACTTGCTCTGGATGCGAGTTGGAGGGCAGGAGAGCAGATTGATGGCCACACCTGCAAGATTAGGCCATATGGTGGTCTTGTGTGCCCAGTACTCGAGTGGGTCTGAGGTGGCGGGCTCAGGTGGCTCTGCCAGGGACCCACAGACTATCACATCAGCAGAATCCTCTGCCATTGCATGCCTGGCAGACAACTAGAACACCTCATTTTTGTTTCCTGGTCTCCTCTCTGTCCTGCCCCCCCACTCTCTCCCCCTCATCCTCCTTGCCAGTCTCCATCCCTCCTCTTCCTTCTTCTCTTCTTCCCCCTGCTTCGCATCCTCCTCCTCCGCATTCTCATCATCGTCCTCCTCTTTCTCCACCTCATCATCTCCCACCTCCCTCAGTTGTCTCTGACCCCAACCATGGCATCACACCTTGTGGCACAGTTCATGCTTTCACTGATGAAGTTGTGCATTTCAAGGGCTATGCTTTTCTTGACATGGGGAGTCACACATGCACACCAGCTTGAACTCCCGCACCTCGAAGAGTAGATGCAAGTGCTCCTCAATGCCTTTCCGCAACCAGGGTCCTGACTCAGTGGAGAACCTCAGTTCCCTCGGAGCCTGGCTGCAGCTCAGACTCCATCACTCAATGTAGCCCGCAAATGAGGAGGATGACTTGCTCCAGGTTGGCCATGTGGGCACAGAGCACATTGGTGGCATCTTGAAATGTTTCAGGATGTGCACCATCTGGGAGAGGATAAGCCAGTCATTGGAGCTGATACTCAGCTCACCCTCCTGCACCATGCTCTTCTGCTCTACCAAATGGGCAATCATGGTGTAAGTGAAGTTCCACCGAGTTCTGACATCCTGGAGCCCCTGCCTCTATCTCAGCAGCCGTGAAGCCCTGAGGCTTCTTGAGTAGTGCCCTTGACTGATGGCAGGGAGTCCCAATGGAAAATGGGATCATGATGGAGACTCTCCAGGCATGGAACAGGATGACACGTTATTTACAGCATCACCACCTTCAGCACTAGTGACGGTGGTTTCCTCCCTCCCACTCATACAGCACATCGGGAACCAGCGGGAGCTCTTGAGCAGTAACGAAGACCAGCCCTGTGGACGCTGCAGGGGAAGTTGCCACAGAGGCCACCAATGACATACTTGGGGAGGAGGCTGCCAATGTGGGGGACCATGGTCGTATCCTACCACCTGTGGACAGTGTGGCCAGTCTTCCCATCCGCCTGTGTCCATGAGTATGACCCATTTGGCCCCGCCTCATGTCCCCACACATCAGACCCAGTTAGGGGGGGGGGGTGGAACAGTGGTTGCTCAAGATGCAGGGAAATGCAACAATGATGGGTAACAACTTCGGTAATAACTCAGTGGCAGAGGCAAGAGGGAACCCCCAAGACAGAGACTCAAGCAACCCAGGAAGAAGGGGGGGGGGGAGAGTCCTTTTGGAAGGAGGAGGAAGGAAACCACACAGCCAGTGGAAAGGGCAGTAAGCAAGACCTCCAGAAAGTGGTGTGTACCTTGTTGGGCAGGGGAGAGGGAGAACCCCAAGGCAGAGGCTCAAAGCCTTTTTGCACTTGTCTGCTCCCCCAAAGTTTGTCTACAGCCACATTGACAGCAAAATCTCCCTCTGCATTGCATCCCTCTCTCACTTTCTCTCCCTATTAAATTATATCTTCCTTCCTTGGAAAAAATTATCATCAGAATCAAATAAACCTCCCACACTAAGTTGATGTCTACTTAAAGAATAGGAAATTGTACTAACCTTCATTGTTTGCAATGCAGAGCAAAAAATATTCTGGGAGGGTGCCTGAGGTCTGCCATAATCTTAATGGATTCTCACTTACCTTCGGTTATGCAGTTTTTCTTCTGAGCATAAATTTCTGAGAAGTATGAATGGAAAAATCACTACTACAGTATGGTTAACGTCTCTTTATCTTAACTGTAGAATCAACTTAAAGCCACTATGGTTTTAGAAATGTGTTTTCACATTTACACCCCTACTACTTTGGATGTGATTTTTAAGTGAAAGAGGGAGATATTTTCAGTATAGTTTGTTGAATATGAAATTGCACAGTTTAACAATATATGTCATTTATATTTTGTGCCACTATGGAGTCAGTCAGAAGCCAGGATGGTATAGCAGTTAGAATGTCAAACTAGGGTCAGGGAGACCCAGGTCTGAATTTGCACTCTGCCATGGATGCTTGCTGGGTGACCTTGGACCAATCACACACTCTTACCCTCACTTAGTTCATAGGGTTGTTATGAAGATAAGAGAGAGGAGAACAATGTAAGCCACCTGGGGGTCTCCACTGGGGAGTAAAGCAGGGTACAAATGAAGTAAATAAATGTCTAGGGAAGTCTTGAAGGTTTCTTTGAATTATTTAAATAGTGGATCGCTGTGTAGATCATCAATGTTTATTTTCTCTTCTTCTTTCCATTAACCAAGCGAAAATACATCACAGAACCAAATGCAGCTGTAAAATTATTCATAAGAAAAGTGACACATGAAAAGCAACATCAAATATGGACTATTTTTCCAGAGCTGAAAGTTCACATTGGGACTTTTCTTTATTTAATTAATGGCACACCAATTCCACAGGTTCTCACAGACTTTGCCCCCCAAACAAGTTGATTGCACGAGAAACAACAAAAGTCTGTCATTTTGTTATTCATCAAAGCCTTCTTCCACGTAAGGAAGTGGCTAATTTGTCATTTCACACTGGAAAAGCCATGAAATGCAAAAAAGAGTGGGGGGGGGGGAGAAGGGAGGTCTGCCAAAGAGAGAACTATGCTGAGCAGGGACATATTTGTCCATCCATTTCCTTAAATTACTTTTGAGCAGGGACAGCTGGCAGATCATCCACTGATACGTTAGCCTTGTAGGATCTTGTCTCTGCTGCTGGGAAGCAGCTCTGGAGGAGCCAGCCTCAGATGCAGCTGCCCCCTCCTACAGATGCCACTATTTAGTAAAACAGCAGAAAAAATAAAACTGGGGGACAATACACAAAAGAAAATACTTCAGGTCACAAAGCTGCCCACCTCTAACTTATGCACTGTTTACACCTGGACTTTAATTTTATTTGAGTCAAAATAGAACCACATTAATTCCCACAATACGTCACTGTCTCAATACGAGTACATGAGACCTTTGCAACAAGAATAGATATCTGAATTAAGATAGACTTCCAGCATCACCAGGTAGCAAAGTCCTTCCGTCACTTTCCTTGGCAGGTCTACTTGGGTCAATTTTGTCTCCAAGGAACAAATGCAAAGCAGCAAAGGAGTTAAAGTTGTGGAACCAACAGGAACCCTGGACGGGGAGGGGATGTTCACAGAAAGCCAGATGAAGGCTAGTACAGTCTTTCCCATTCACTTCTCAGAAGATTCAGTCTCTTGATTGACTCAACATATCCTCTCAAAAGACAGTCTTCAAACTAGTGGATGATGACATTCCAATAAATAAAGCTCTGGCTTTCCCCTAAAAATCTATGGTTATGCTTGTTTTTTAAGAGTAAATGAGCACCTTCCCAATATAGGGACCAATCCAGCCTAGGCACACCAGCCTTCAGATGAGAACACTGAGCCCCTATCTGGTGACAATGCACGAATGGCATCCCATGCTAGGTAGCCTGTCCCTCCACCCTTACCCAGTATCTGTAACTGAGCAGGCCACATCTTTTGGCCCTAGAGGAACAGAAAAGGGCAAGGCCTATCCATTGTATAGGGTTCTGGGCTCATTTCCACATCCCTTTGCAGAAGAATGCTCATTGGTCTGACTGTAGCAAAGTGAGCATGAGTGAAATCCACATACAAGCCCTCCAGCACTGCACAGCCTGCCTCAGGGATCCATGTAGGGATGGCTTTCTGCACAAGCTGGATCATGCTAGGGGCAGGGAGAGGGAGATGTACTGTCCATACGTGTCTCCATGAGGCTGTAGATAAAACTACTGGGAGAGGATGCCTTGTTTTGCTTATCTATTACAGACTATCCTTTGCAGAGGTCATTTTGGGGGGGATCGCGGGGGAACGCAGTTCCCCCAGGTGAGGTGCAGGGGGTGGGGCACATGACTAAGCCCCGCCCCCTGCTTCCGGCCGCCCCGCTTCCAGCCCTCATTCAGCCAGGAGGAGGCAGGCGAAGAGGGAGGGTAAGTTGCTTCCTCCCCGCCTCTCCCCACCCCTGCCTGCCTGGGGCCAGGGAGGGCCTTGGCGGGGCTTCCTCGCACTCCCGCTGGCCTTGCAGGTCCACCGCCGGGCCCCTGATGTCAGGGGGTGTGGCATATGCTAATGAGTTATGCTAATGAGTTCCCCTAGCTCTTTTTCTACGAAATGACCCCTGATCCTTTGGCTTTCATCCATAACACATCCATACTCCCTTTTACAAACCCATCCAGCCTGCCTTGAAATGCAGTCACCTGTAAAGAAGAACCTAGCAGTTGTTTAATAAGCCCCAGGGGACGTAGTTTTACAAGGGAAAACAACAGAACAGCCATTTGATCTATGAGATAAATTAACTACCCAGAGCCCAATTTGCAAATAAAGTTATCTCAGTTCAAACTTGAGCACTGCTATAGCTCATACAAACCTGCTATGGCTCATACAAACCTTTCTCGTCAGCCAGTGTGTTCTTCAAGGGGAGGGTTTCCTATACAATAAGAACTATGCATAGCTTGGTCTCTCTGAAAAGCAACATCAATAGGAAGAGTCCACATGACTCTAACAAAATATTTTCAATAGCAAAAATGTCTTCTCTTTAAATAAAATATGCAAACTATGTAGACATGAGCCTGGTATGTAGGAAGATGGCTTTGTGGTGTCTCCGGTTCCGTTTCTTCTTTATCTCTTGGACATGTTTCCACTTTGGGCCCCCTTTGCTCCGCTGCCGCTTCTTTTCCTGGTGCCACATCTGCTCACAGTACTCATCCAGGCTGAAGTTGGGGCTGCTGAGAAGTTGGATGTAATCCTTGTATCTCAGCTGTGACTCCCTCACTCGCCCCTCTTCATCTTCTGTTTTCAGAGTGCTTTCCATCTGTCTGTTCTCAATGACATTTAAATTTAACTTCACAATAGTCTGGACAAATGTGTGTACCTGGGCTTTACAGTAATATGCCCCTGTGTCTTTCTTCTGCAAACTGCGGATCAACAATCCATATTCTGTCTTGATGATTCTTTCATCCGGTTTCAGCTGTAGGATTAAAATATATATGTATTTATTATAAAGCTCAGGGGGAAAGTTAAAAAACATGTATGTTACAGTGAAGAGCCAAGATGGAGATGAAAATAGATGGCTCAAATATCTGGATCATGATATATGGGGTGTCTGATTCAAACTTGGCTGTGGGCATAGGACAGCCAGGTGAGGATCCATTGGCTCAGATGGGCACCATGTTAGCATCAGCTGAGGGCTTAGTTTTCTTTAACTGTGGAACTGGAATACCAGTAGGGTTGCCAACCCCCCCGGTTTGCCAGGGGTCCCCCGTTTTGGGGGGTGGTTCTACCCGCCGCCGGCCAGATGGCCGGCAGGGGAAGCCCTACCCCCAACACCCACAGCCACCCATCTCTCTCCCTTTAAGGGTGTGCAACCCGTGTTTCATCCCAAGCGCAAACTCCGCAAACTTGCAGGGAAAAGCCAGCTTCGTTCTTAAAAGGGAAACACAGCTTCTCTTAAAGGGGAAATGCCGGCTGCCGGCTACTTTAAGTGCAGGGAACTGCTGTTTCTGGAAATCCAGTGCAAGGCCGGGTGGGGGGGCGGCAGACGTCCCCAACGTGACGTCATCACGTTGGGGATGCCCCACCCCTTCCAGGAACGCCCCCAAAGTCCCCCGCTGGGGGTGGATGATGGACTTGGCAACCCTAAATACCAGACAGATAAGTATTTCCTTATACACCCAATGACACACTTAAATCAGAAATAAGAGGATCATCATCTCAAAAAATGTCCCAGTATGGTTGCCATGATGTTGTCTGCTGCTGATCACACTTTTCAAAGAAGAAGAAAGTGAGCAAAACATTTGTTCCTACCTCAAAAGGAAAAGGGAACTGTCACTGTCATCTTTGTTATATCTTACCAAGATAACGGTGTTTAGAAACAAAAGTGAAGAAACGACTTTTAACAACTAGCTTGGTTTTTATACGATCTGTACTTAAACAAAAATACCCCATATGTCTCTGAATCTCATAGTAATGGATATTGGAGCCTGTGACTTTTTAGTCACATTCACACTGTTATATTGTTTCCAAGATTTCTGTGATTTATTGACTGCTGTTGTATTGCTTTAAGTTTAAATAGTGATTTTAGAGAATCCTAATTGTCTTAATGGTATTGGTGTAGGCTGCCTTGGGAACTCTTTGTTTGAGAGGCAGCATAAAAATACATTTAAAATACATACTTCACCCATAAGCAGGGATTGCAAAAGGTGGGAAACTTAACCACTCTACTCACAAATGAGTGATGAATATTGCATGTTAAAAGGACAACTAAACAATATTACAGTGCATTAAGTTGGGATACCAACATGGTTCCCACCTATGTTTACCTCTTGGATATGGGATTCCAGGTCAGATTTCATCGCCTCCTGCTCTCAACTCATCTCTTAAACAGGCTTTGAACATGACCGTAATGTGAAGGGAACAGGAAGCACCATGTACATCAGCTTTAGGCAAAAATATCAGAACAGCTTGAACTGCACACTGCCAGGGAGATGCAAAAAGGTTTATTTTGCACAAGAGAGAGATACAGAGGAACAGGAAGTAGGGGACAATTATTCTCCCTGTTCCATTTACTTTAGTATAACATCCTGTGCCCATTACATCACCATGACATCTGAAGCAGCTCATCTACTATCAACAAGCTGACAACTTTGCCCTACAGAGAACTGTCCCAGTGTGGTGATTTTCAAAATCAGTTTAAAAAATCAGCAAACCAATAAAGCGTGCTATGGAAATATACTGTCTTTCAAGATGCGTCCAATCAAGAAAAAAAACACAGTGGTTTATGTATGACAGTTTTCATGTATTTTAATTGCTGTGCAATTAAGCATTTTCTCTTCCAATCTGCTAACAAAATAGAATATGCACTATCAGAATTAGCAAGGGAAAACCAAAACCATCTTTTACAGATTTTTAAACTGGCATAGAGCAGTAAACATTTCCAGATGTGGATGCTGGTTATTTAATTTTCAGTTATTTTCATGTTCAAGTAACAATTGACGCATACAAGAAAGATATCTGCATTTGCTACTAAAAGATAGGTAACTGCAAAAGAATGAGGGGAAAGACTTAAAAACATAACCTAATGTAATCAAAGATGTTTAAACAAAGAGAGTCCATTAAGGCTAGTGGCCCTGATTATTTCCATAAGTGTTTTCACCTTACTTAGAAGAGAGTATAGATTTTACCATAGTAGAATTTTCTGAAGACTATCTTGCATGATTCAGAGGGTAGCCATTTTGCTCTGCAGGTATGTTGCATGTTATTTAGGATCCTAGTGAACATGCCAGACTCTTGTTCATTAATGTTTCTTTTTGGGACAGGGTAAAAGCCGGAACGGCCCGGAACGGCCCAGAACGGGCATTAAACACACAATAGTACCACAAAAAAACAGTGGCATGCATTACAGGCCCTCCAGAACAATATTCTAGAAGTGGAAAACCAGAACTCTCACTCTTTTATTAACCCTTTCTGGGCCAAAAGGCCTCCGGAACGGCAAGGAACGGCCAGGAACAGGCACTAAACACACAATAGTAACACCCAAAAAAAGGGGCATGCATTACAGGCCCTCCAGAACAGTATTCTAGAAGTGGAATACCAGAACTCTCACTCTTTTATTAACCCTTTCTAGGCCAAAATGCCTCCAGAACACCCCGGAACGGGCATTAAAAACACAGTAGTACCGCAAAAAACAGTGGCATGCATTACAGGCACTCCAGAACAGTATTCTAGAGGTGGAAAACTGGAACTCTCACTCTTTTATTAACCCTTTCTAGGCCAAAATGCCTCTGGAACTCCCAAGAACGGCCCAAAACGGCCCGGAACGGGCATTAAAAACACAGTAGTACCGCAAAAAACAGTGGCATGCATTACAGGCACTCGAGAACAGTATTCTAGAGGTGGGAAACCAGAACTCTCAATCTTTTTTAACCCTTTCTAGGCCAAAATGCCTCAGGAACACCCAAGAACGGTCCGGAACGGCCCGGAACGGGCATTAAACACACAGTAGTACCACAAAAAACAGTGGCATGCATTACAGGCACTCCAGAACAGTATTCTAGAGGTGGGAAACCGGAACCCTCACTCTTTTATTAACCTTTTCTAGGCCAAAATGCCTCAGGAACAACCAAGAACGGCCCGGAACGGCCTGGAACGGGCATTAAACACACAATAGTACTGCAAAAAACAGTGGCATCCATTACAGGTACTCCAGAGCAGAATTCTAGAAGTGGGAAAATGGA